CGCGCCGAATCGTCCAGGAACAATGGAAGGTTGCAGATAATGAAATTGTCACTATGCACTCCACCGGCTTGGTAAGCAAGCCGATTATCCTCGAGCCATAGTTCAGGGTTTGTTTCCCCAGAGTATTTCGGGTGTTGGTCGACGGTCGGTACCACGGTGGGAACACGATGTTGAGGATGTGTCGCCCAAAGGCCTGAAGTCCCAGCAAGTCGAGGCTCAGGCTTCGGTCCTCGCTGTTGTCATAGCATCCGCCATGACGAGGGTGGTAGCCGTGGCTAGCCACCTCCATCTCATCATCGTGGGCACACCTGTGGGCATCGAGGGTGTTACGCGCGTCATGGTAGAGGCCGAGACGCTCATGCACCGGGGCCATGGCGTGCGGCCTGCCGCCTTGCTGTGCCTGGTGGACTGACATGTCCCTGTCGGGTCGCTCTGAGGGCACACTGGCTGGTGTCAAGCTCGCGTCATCGGGACAGCGAGCTCTCAGCCTGCTGCGCCGCCGCACCCTCGAGTAACGTGCAAATCTTGCGATGGGCCCGACGATCGTCGGGTGTCGTAGGCTCTGGAAGCGCCCGGAGCAAGGCCGCCACGGACGCGATGTTCTGGCTTGCCCAGGTGAAGTGTGGGAGGGCTTCATCATCCTCGATCCTCCGGTTCACGTCATGGGCCATGGTGCGCGCACGCCCACCGTCTCTGTGGCGCTCGAGCTCCGTGCATTCCTGCTCGAGCTAGAGTCATGCTTCTTCGAGCTCTTGGTTCCACGCCCTTAGCTGTTCTAACCGCAGATGAGGTGGGGCCCCAGCATCCCCCTCGACCTCGTCGTTGAGGTCGTCTGTTGGGGTAGCCCCTCCCTCATGGATGCTTTTGATGTATCCCTCAAGGGTACCTGCCATGAAACATTCTCGTGAGGGGTGATGGCTCCCCCTGCTGGAGTCAGAGTCAGAGGGCGACTCCGATTCTCCTGCGAGAAGGTTGTGGAAAGATTCCATGACATATTCGATCATCCGCACGAACTCATCGTTCATAGAGGATGGGGGCGTGCGCTGCGCCACAAGGTGGCCAACAGTCTTTGCGGCGTTGCGCAGACCAAACAAGAGCGCTGTCGAGGCGCTCTGGATGAGGTATTCTGGGGAGAGCGGCTCTCCTCTAGCAAGCTGCATCATGACATTGGTGAACGAGAAGGTGAGGCAGCGTAGGTCCTCTAGGGATAGTCGGGGTCCTAGGAAGGCGCCGAGCTCGCACTCTAGCCTCCCATAATCGAAGCTGAGGAGCTAGTCGCTCCCAGGGGCATGGGCCTCTAGTGCGTGCAGCTGCAGCTCCTCAAACGCCTCAGCAATCGCATCGAGGACAGCGGAGTGGAAAGGCTAGATGGCGGCGGGAACCTACGCCAACTCTCCCTCCGTCGTAACGATAAAATCTTGGTTCCCAAAGCACACATGTGCACCCGAGACCCAGCTGACGCTGTGACTAGCCATCAGAGGCTTGATGTGGACGTCGAGACACGTAAAAAGCCCCTACCTGGCGTGCCAACTGTCGGTGTTTTTGGACCACCAACGAGTAAATTTGTATTTATGCGTCTAGCTCGGATGGTGTGCTCGGAGGACACAAGGGTTTATACTGGTTTGGTGGAATGTCCCTACGTCTAGTTTGCTATTGCTCGTGTTACCGGCACTTGGTTTACAGTAGTGGTTATAAACAGGTGAGAGAGGGAAAGGATCCCAAGTCTTTGGTGGAAGGAGTGAATGGGTGTTGAGAGCTCGCTTGCCCCTCAACCATGTGCTCGTGTCGTGCTCTTGTATTTAGATCCCCCTCCATGGGGCGCCCTGCTTCCCCTTTTATAGACGAAGGGAAAGCGCGAGTTACAGAGGAGGAAAAGTAGAAGAACGAGAGAGAGAGAAGAAGGCTTCCAGGGTCACTGGGTCCTTCTTCTCCTTCATGTGGGTCCTGCTAATCCTGTAAATGTCAATAGGGACGGCTCCATGTCGCGGCCTTGTTCATCACTAGCGCCATGCGCATGCATCATCTGCCGGTCATGGCATTCCACTCTGTCCCGACGGACGTCGTGGTGAACTACCGCGCCTGTCAGCGTCCGTACGAGGATTAGGCAGAACAGCACCGGCACGTCCGACACTGTTCTTGATGTGAATCCCTAGGTATGGCCCGTCATGGCCACGGGTTCCATCGAGGCGTGCCAGCCTCTTTCCTGGCGTCAGAGTTTTGACCTAGGCCCATACGCTTGGACCTAGAGTGGTTGGCGGTGGTATGGGTCCCCATTGAACGAGACGGAACCCACGTCCTCGAGGTTGGGCGAGATGGAGCCCATGACGTTGGGTGAGACAGAGCCCGTGTCCTCGAGGTCGAGCGAGATGGAACCCGCGTCCTTGGGGTTGCAGCCAAGGGGTCGGGCGAGACAGAGCCTACGGCCTAGAGGTCGGGTGAGACGGAGCCCACATCCTCGAGGTCTGGCAAGACGGAAGCTGCATCCTTGGGGTCGGGCGAGACGAAGCCTGCACCCAAGGGGTCGGGCGAGACGGAGCCCACGGCCTCGAGGTCGGGCGAGACGGAGCCCGTGTCCTCGAGGTCGGGCGAGACGGAAGCCATGTCCTTAGGGTCGGGCGAGATGGAGCTACCACCCAAGGGGTCGGGCAAGATGGAACCCGTGTTCTTGGGGTCGGGCGAGACAGAGCCCACACTCAAGGGGAGAGACGGAGCCCACGACCTTGAGGTCGGGCGAGATAGAGCCCGCGGCCTTGAGGTTGGGTGAGACGGAGCCTGCGGCCTTGGGGTCGGGCGAGACCTTTTAATATGTCTCGAGCCATCCGGGGAAGTCAGCGTGGGTGCTAACTTCCTTGCTTTTGGTATCCCTAATATCGATACCCAACAATTAGACTCGAACACAAGTTTAAAACCATCACGACACAACAAAGAACCACTAATCAAATTATTCTTTATTGAGGGGACATGATGCACGTTCTTCAGTTGCATGGTCTTTCCCGAAGTAAGCTTCAGATCGACTGTACCAACACCACGTACAGCCGCATGCACCCCATTCCCCATCAACAAGGAGGAAGTCCGTGACCTGATAAGAAGAAAACAAAGAAACCTCAGCACACACATGTATATTTACTCCTGTATCAACCCACCAATCAGGTGAATGACAAACTGAAAGAACAATAGGCAATAAATTACCGTACCCTATTGTTCTTACATCAGTCTCAATTGTGTTTGCTATTTTCTCGCACTCTCTAGCATGCTGCCCAGGCTTGCCACAAGTGAAACAATTTCTCTTTTCCTTGTTGTTGTTCTTCTTCTTAAAAGGAGTGGTAGACTTTTATTTAAGTTCTTGCTGGAATTTCTTTTTGTGGGATTTGGGAGGATTTTTCTGCACCACATGGGCACTAGAGCTCCCCTCACCAATTTTCTTGCCACGGGCATCTTTTGCTCTCGCCTTCTCTTCAACATCCTAAGAGCCAATGAGCTCAGCAATGTCAAACTCTTATCTCTTATGTTTCAGAGAAGTAGCAAAATTTGTCCCAGCCTGTGGCAACTTAGCAATGATACAGCCTACCACACACTTATCAGGCAATACACAACCAAAAATTTTAGCCTCTTTTGCTAGTGTTAGTATCTCATAAGCTTATTCGACTACAGAACGACCATCGACCATCCTGTAGTCATGAAACTGCTTCATGACATACAACTCAGAACCAGCATCAGAAACCCCATATTTGGCCTCAAATGCGTCCCACATCTCTTTACCCGTCTGTAGCGCACATATGCATCAACTATGGTGTCTCCAAGCACACTCAAAATTGTTGCCTTGAACGTAGTGTCAGCATGTTTGAACGCACGCTCTTCAGCAATAAAATAACAGTGCATAGAAGTCAACCATAGTATGCATCTCTGCCGCCGCCTCTTGTAATGAGTGCCCTCAAAGACATTTGGTTTCAGCATACTCGCAAAGCCAACTACCGAGAATTGCCTATTACGTTTTTGGATTGTTAGAATATTAGACAATTTTAGTAGCAATTTAATACAGAGAAAGACATAAAATAATATGAACATGTTGGTGACATCATATATGTGCTTGTGTGCCTTAAACATGACGAGCATGTAGATGATACTCAAACTAAGGATTGACAGCTAAGACCTTAAGAGGTTCATTCCAGAGACATACCCAGCGGCAAAGCCGGATGCACTCGAAGACATAGTACCTGTCGATGTAGTCGTCCCACTCGATGCAGTGCAGATGAGAAGCAGTGCTGATCACCAACGATCCTCCAGGAAGTAGAGGACAGTGAGTAGTCGTGCGCCAGCGACACTCCCCAAAAACATGATTGCCGCCCTTCACCCGAGCAGGCGAACTCAAAGACAACAGAGCGTTTCGGAGGCCTACTCTTCTAGCTCCAGTGCGTGCAGGAAACAGAGAGCAGCTGAATATGTGGTGTCTCTGAAGCGAAGAGAATGACTGACGGAGGAACTCGGATTATATGCTCGTGGCGGGGAAGCGAAGGGGCTCAGGAGGAGATCAAGGAACAGGAGACGAGAGAGCTCTCGCCCATCAAGTTTCAGCGACAGTAACAGAGGAAATTCCCATCACCAAACCGCCACTCATCAAAAATGGAAGAAACTCCCGTAATTATGAGACTTGATTGGCAAAACACGGCCCCGTCCATCCGTCCGCTCGCCTGCCACGCCCCGCCCCGCCCCGCCCACGGCGGCGGCGGCGTGCGCGTGCGTGTGGCACACCATCATCCTTGTCTCAGCTTCTCAATATAGATAGACAATGTCCAACCGTATAAACCAAGTCAACGTCTAGTCAAAATCCCGTACGATATTAAATCATATATCGCGCATTAATACAATCATAAAATTTATTTGATTTATTAAATATTATATGGACCAAGTCCATAGTATATCCGACGTATATAACTTTATCCATGGGCATTTTGGTGAACGCACGCCACTACGCCAGCAAAGCACTATGTCTGATTTACCGGTCACGCTTGCGAGTGGTCGGCAATTCTGATGAGGAGCTGAACCAGCTCCAGTGCCCGCGAGAGCATAGCCATGTGGTCAGCTCCGGTGATCACTCTCACCCCAACGCCGGGGCTCTGTGCCACCATGCGGCGCTGGAACTCCGCTGGAATGCCGCAGTTTTCCTCCACCACGACGAACACGCGCCACGACGACCCGTACCCCTCCTCCGTAAGCAGCTTCTCGTCCCTCATCACCACCTCATCTGGGTTGCCTGTGGTGAATGCGTTCGCCGGCTTGATAAGCATCAGGCCCAGAGTCAAGTCCTACAAACAAGAAAGTTTTTCCCCCTTTTATTTATGGTTCAAGAAAAGGTCAAACAGTAGCAGCAAGGTTACAGGTGGAGATTATGCGGTTATGCCCATTATTATATCTTTTAAGTAAGGTGCTCTTTTTTAAAAAAACATTAAAGTCCTGTTTGATCCATAGAGCTAAACTTCAACCTATGGTTAAAAATTAGCTCTTAGAACGACGGGACTAAAGTTTAGCCAATAAAGCTGTTTGAATCCAGAGGCTAAAGATTAGCCTTGTACTCTTCCATGACTCATTTGCTCCTAATTAATACTCATACATAGCCATGCATAGAGATGGATGGGGTAATATGTGTCTTTTACTCTATGTGACCACTTTTAGCCATTTTAGTCCACCTTGGAGGAGCTAATGAAAAAGTGGTGGGCTAAAGTTTAATCCTCACTTTTAACCCTCCTGCTTAGATCACGAGGGTTAAAAGTTGACTTAAAAAAGATGGGCTAAACTTTAGCCATATGGACCAAGCCTAAGGTACTCATATAGTACGTTCCAAACAGCAGCAACGTTAATTAAGGTGTTACTTCCGGTAGGCTCAGTTGGTAAAGCCTTTAGACCATAAAATTGGGCCCAAAATAAATGGCTTGCCCTTGATCTTGGATTCTCTTGTTGGAGCTCCTTTGAGTCCAGGAAGAAGTCCGGCCCAACAAATGCTAATAGCTAAGAACAATGTGAAAGAATAATCCAAATCAAATACGAAGTACTACTCAACTAAACTGTTGAATATTCGCGTCGAAGCACAGTAAGAAATAATTAATGATCACATCACCTCGTCACTGGTGGCAGCCATAGGACGTCCGACGGCCGGCATGGACGCGGTCACGAACACGGCAACAGCGACCTTGTCCGGGAACCTCTCCACGGCGAGCGCGACGCTGTACCCACCGTGGCTGTGCGCGACGAGCACGACCTGCTCTCCGGCCGGCAGCGCAGCCACCGCGCCGAGCAGCGGCCGTGAGTACTCCTCGAAGGTGCGCACATCAGCAAGACGCGCTGGGTGCGCGCCGCAGCCGGCCATGTCGAGCGCCGGCGCGGTGGCCGGCGCGCCGCAGCGCCACGCGCCGTGGCACATCCCGTGCACCAGCATGAAGTGGTGGCGCCGCTGCTTGGCGTCGGAGGCGGCCATTGCCGTGCAGGGTCCTTGGCTTGCACCTTGCAGAGCGCAGTAGATGTAATGAAATATTGCTTGTTTAGTTGTTCCCAGCGACCACAAGCACCCAGTTTGCTTCGTCGTATCAGCTATGTTTATCAGTCCTGATATAGTGTTTTTCTCTCATAATAAAATAGCAGCAGTCGATTTATAAGCCATAGAAATAATCAAGCGAACAAGGTAGATATGCTGACACTGACAGTGACTAAGCATCCGGTTTGTATTGCTGTCCTTTTTCATGTGATTCGTGTGCTAAGCTACTCTGTCTGTCTAAAAAAAATATCGTTCTCGCTTTCTCAAAAATCAATAACTTTTAAACTTTGACAAAACATATTTAACAAAATAATAATATTTATGGTATATAATTAGTACTATTACAGCCTGTTTGTTTGTTGATTTCAGCTGAGGCTTATCAAGCAGCCAACAGTATTTTTTTTCACAACAAACCAGCACCAGCCGGACTTATTAGCCTAGAAATCAATCAACGAACATGCTCTTAGTACCCTTGTGCGTGGCCATGGCTGCCTCTCTGGCCACCGGCGGCACGCTCCCCCACCCCGGCGGCCTCTCCCACCCCCGCGTCCTCACCCATCAGGAGCGCCCAATGTCCACGGATCTGGTGGCTCCCCCTACCCCGACGAGATCCGGCAGCGTCTCTTTCCCTCGGCCGACGGCGGGCATAGCAGGCGTGCAGGCGCGCACCATCTAGCGAGCCTGCGCCACCGCAGTTGCCCACTAGGTAGGTTAAGCCCACGCGACAATACTGTGTTTCAAGTGTTTCTGAACGCTTTTTCAGACATGTTGCAAGCCCTTGTTTAAAGTGTTTCGATTGTTTCAAATGTATGTTTCAATTGTTTCATGCGGATGTTGCAAAAGTAAATTGAGATATTGCATACGTTGCAATAGTTGTACACATATGTTGCAAGCGTCTATCTCCAATGTTTCATCTGTTTTTTTACACGTATGTTGCAAGTGTTTCAGACGCATGTCTCAAGTGTTTCATCTGTCTTCTTTTGTACGTTGCAAGTGTTGCATCTGAATATTTCAAAAATAGATCGGGATGTTGCACATATTGCAATGGTGTTTCAACCGTATATTTCAAATGTTTCATCTGTTTTAGACGTATGTTACAAATGTTTCATTTGGACGTTGCAAAAGTAAGATCAGGGTGCTACACAGCGCAACCGATGGTTGTCGCTGCTGCTGGTGCGCAGCCGTGGTTTAGCACACGTGGGTTTCTCCGTGCGGGGGCGCAGGTCGGGACACGGAACGCAGGGCGTGGGACAGGATGCTGACGCTGGAGCGGCGCAGGTGTCGGAGCCATGTCCGGGCGCTAGGCATTGCGAAATAATTTTGTCCAAGCCAGAAATGTAATTTATTTTTAACGGAATGAGTATTGTGGTGAGGATCGTTTCACCGTTGTCCTACATAGCCTACCAAAAAATTTTCTTTCTCGAGCATGGAAGCAGGAACAGGACTGGTCAAATCAAAACAATCGGTGCTGTGGGCATGTCCCATATTTCAACCTCCCGCGTTCACGAATGAACAGAGTATAGGCGAGTGGGCATGTCCCATTCCAGCTCCCTCCACCACTTCCTCCGCCACGTTTCCATCCCTCCGGACCCGCACTTCCTCCCCACCGCGTTCAAGTCATGCCCGACACTGCCACTCGCCCGCGCTCTCCACGCCGCCGCCGAGGTCACCGGCCTCGTGCGGGACCCCTTCGTCGCCTCCTCGCTCCTTCACGCATACCTCCGCCTCGGCACCACCGTCGACGCCCGCGCCGTGTTCGACGGAATGCCGCGCCCGCAGAGGACCGTCGTCGGTTGGAGCGCGCTGGTCGCGGCGCACGCTGCGCGCGGGGACGCCGGGGGCGCCTGGCGCCTACTCGAGGAGATGCGGCGGGACGGCGGCGTGGAGCCGAACGTCATCACCTGGAACGGGCTCGTGTCTGGGCTCAACCGCAGTGGGCGTGCCCGGGACGCGGTCGTGGCGCTGGCGAGGATGCACGGGGAAGGGCTCCTGCGTCCTGACGCCACGAGCGTCTCGTGCGCGCTCTCCGCCGTTGGGGACGTCGGTTTGGTTTCGGTGGGCGAACAGCTGCACGGATACGCAGTTAAGGCAGGCTGCAGGGTGGATGCGTGTGTGGTCACCGCCCTCATCGGTATGTACGGAAAGTGCGGGCGGGCTGCGGAGATTGTTCAGGTGTTTGATGAGTCCAGCCACGTGGATGTTGCTTCTTGCAATGCCCTCATCGCGGGGCTATCTCGGAACACGCAAGTCTCTGAGGCACTAAGGTTGTTCAGGGAGTTTGTTGGCCGGGGACTCGAGCTGAATGTTGTGTCCTGGACCTCGATTGTTGCTTGTTGCGTGCAGAACGGTAAGGATTTGGAAGCTGTGGAACTTTTCAGGGAGATGCAGGCACAAGGGATTGAACCAAACTCTGTCACGATCCCTTGTGTGCTGCCAGCGTTTGCCAATGTTTCAGCTCTGACGCATGGGAGGTCAGCGCACAGTTTTGCTCTCAGGAAGGGCTTTCTCCATGATGTTTATGTGAGCAGTGCGTTGGTGGACATGTATGCAAAGTGTGGCAGGGTTAAGGATGCGAGAACAATATTTGACGCAATGCCATCTCGGAATGTGGTTTCATGGAATGCGATGATCGGTGGCTATGCTATGCATGGTGAGGCTGTGAATGCAGTTCGGTTGTTTCACTCAATGCTGGTGTGCAAACAGAAGCCTGACATGGTCACCTTCACCTGCGTGCTTGCTGCTTGCACCCAGGCTGGTTTGACAGAGGAAGGGCATCACTATTTTAAAGAAATGCATAATGAGTATGGTGTTTCTCCGAGGATGGAACATTATGCATGCATGGTTACTCTTCTGGGACGTGCTGGCAAACTTGATGAGGCATATGATCTCATAAGTGATATGCCATTTGAGCCAGATGGATGTATTTGGGGTTCGTTATTAGGCTCTTGCCGGGTTTATGGCAATGTGGATCTGGCTGAGGTTGCAGCAGAAAAGCTCTTTCGTCTAGAGCCAGAAAATGCTGGTAATTATGTCCTGCTTTCTAACATTTATGCTTCTAAGAAAATGTGGGATGGAGTTAATAGGGTTAGAGAGATGATGAAGGATGTAGGCTTGAAGAAGGAAAAGGGCTGTAGCTGGATCGATATCAAGAACAAGGTGCATATGTTGTTGGCTGGTGATGATTCACACCCTATGATGACTGCGATAATTGAGAAACTAAAGCAGCTTAATATTCAGATGAGGAAGCTGGGCTTTGTACCAAGCACAGATTTTGTCCTACATGATGTGGAGGAACAAGAGAAAGATGATATCCTTGCTGTTCACAGTGAGAAGCTAGCTGTCGCTTTGGGACTCATAAGCACTAGCCCAGGAACAACCCTTCGGGTGATAAAGAACCTCCGAATTTGTGGCGACTGCCATGAGGCAATGAAATTTATATCATCTTTTGAGGGGAGGGAGATATCTGTTAGAGATACCAACAGGTTCCATCACTTTAGGGATGGAAAATGTTCCTGTGGGGATTATTGGTGACTCTGTTTGTGCTTTCCTGCAGTACTATTTGCACAACAACTTGACGAGGATGTCAATGGAACATAGCATTCATTTCTGGATTTTTTTTCCATAAGGTAATTGTTTAACTATGCAATCAGGCCTAACTTCATATGTCAAAAGGAAAAAGAAAATCCGATATCAGGACTTAAACATTATGCATTGGAGAGGAAAAACAGAAGAAGACTAATGCATTATGCAACAACAGCTGCTGTGTAGTGTCTTTAGTTGACTATTTCAAATTTATCTATCTGATATTTTCATCCCAATATATATTTGTTTCCTAGGCAGTTCTGTATTTTTGCAACTACACATGTATGATGGCCAGTTCTTTAGTTAGTAGTTCTTTAGCCAGTTCTGTATTTTTGCAACTACCTCATGATTTTGTGATCTGCTATGATAGCATGGTATAATTCCTTACATATGAAGTGATTAGTTATCATATGATATTTTACTAGGTCCAACTCTCCAAAAACATTTGATATGCAATTCAGCACATTTATTATCTTAATGTCATGAATGTGTTCTAATTTGAGATTCACCACAATTATTGCTGCCAGTGATCAAGTCATTTCCTAACAAAACCACTTGTCAAACCGGTCTACACAAAGTAGCGGCCAAAAGTCATTTCCAAAAACATTTAGTCGATTTTGCTAAAGTTTTAAGGTGTGAATGCGAGATTTTTAATTCTACTAGCATCCAACTTTTGATGTGGAGCCCACTTATCTACCTAGTCGCACCGATCAACACAAAGTAGCGGGCAATTATACTGAATTATCTCCATCAAACTTTAGTCAAATCCACTAAATTTTTAAGGTATGAACACGAGGTATTAATTCTAGGTCCAGCTTTTGACGTGACGCCCATGTATATATCTACTCACGCCAATCCACACAAAAATCATACCAACTCATTTCTAACAAACTTAAATCAATTTTAAATTTTAAGGTTTGGACGCGAGCTTTTAAATTCTAAGGTCCAGCTTTTGACATAGAATCACCATGTTGTGGACGCTTTCATTGGAAAGCAGTACACTAGGAAGAAGAAGGAGTCAGCTGCCTCTAGTGGCTAGAATTAGTCTAAGCTAGCTGAGATTAGACATGCAGGAATAATAGGGCTAAGATTAGACATGCAGGACCAATACCAGCCGCATGTGGGGGATTATAACCACTGTGCGGCTGGGCATTAGGGGCAAGCAGAAGTAGGATTGTTATGATCAGAGCCTCCCAGGGAGCGCGATCAGGTTCTACTGCTGCCATTGTTCTAGGATTAGCCACTGTAATCACCCCAGTTCATCAATAAAGAACCCCCTAGATCACTAGCCATATCATCTGGTATCGGTTAGCCTCTCGATCCTCTCGCCTGTCATGGGTGACAACCTCAACTCCACTCTG